GTGATGATAAAATACAATGAAAATGAGAATGGATATAACAGTGATAATAGATAACAATAACAAAAATACTACTACCCACGAATAACAATAAAACAAAACGAGTGAAAATAATGCTGACTTTAACGACAAAAATATTAAAGATAACATTGAAATGTTTATGAAAATAGCACTAACAATAATGATAAAATGCAATGAAAATGAGAATGGATATAACAGTGATAACAAATATTGCAATGATGAGGGGAAATCAGACAAACGAAACGAAGTGAAATAAATGAACTTGAGGAATAATCATAAAAAAAAAATATTGATGAAAATACATGGCAAGGAAAAGGACGGGCCTTCTCATGGGTAAGGCAAGGGGATGACCTCCATGGGTAAGGCAAGGGGATGACCTCCATGGTAAGGCAAGGGGTGACCTCTGGTGGGTAAGGCAAGGGGGATGACCTCCATGGGTAAGGCAAGGGATGACCTCCATGGGGGATGACCTCCATGGTAATAAGGGATGATCTCCATAGTAAGGCAAGGGGGATGACCTATGTGGTAAGCAAGGGGATGACCTCCATGGGTAAGCAAGAGGACCTCCATGGTAAGGCAAGGGATGACCTCCAATGGTAAGCAAGGGGACTCCATGGTAAAGGATGAGGGTACCTCTCGGGCAAGGGGATGACCTCCATGGGTAAGGCAAGGGGATGACCTCCATGGGTAAGGCAAGGGGGATGATCTCCATGGGTAAGGCAAGGGATGACCTCCATGGTAAGGCAAGGGATGACCTCCATGGTAAGGTAAGGGGTATGACCTCCATGGTAAGCAAGGGATGACCTCCATGGGTAAGGCAAGGGGATGACCTCCATGGGTAAGGGAAGGGGGATGATCTCCATGGGTAAGGCAAGGGGGACCTCTGTGGGTAAGGCAAGGGATGAACCTCCATGGGTAAGGCAAGGGGATGACCTCCATGGGTAGGCAAGGATGACCTCCATGGGTAAGCCAAGGATGTCCAGTAGCAAGGGGGATGATTCTCCAGGTAAGAAGGGATGACCTCCATGGGTAAGCAAGGGGATGACCCTGATGTAAGGCAAGGGGATGACCTCCATGGGTAAGGCAAGGGGGATGACCTCTGGTGGGTAAGGCAAGGATGACCTCCATGGGGTAGGCAGGGGATCCTCCATGGTGGGAAGGGGATGCAAGGCATACTCTGGTGGTAACGCAAGGGATGACCTCCATGGGTAAGCCAAGGGGATGACCTCCATGGTAAGGCAAGGGATGACCTCTGGGGTAAGGCAAGGGATGACCTGACCCATGGGTAAGGCAAAGGAACCTCCATGGTAAGGCGGATACCTCCATGGGTAAGCAAGGGGATACCTCCATGTAAGCAAGGGGTGACCTCCAATAGTAAGCAAGGAGACCTCCCATGGGTAAAGCAAGATGAACCTCCATGGGAAGGCAAAGGGATGACCTCCAGGTAAGCAAGGGGATGACTCCATGTTAAGGCAAGGGGATGGTCCATGGCTAAGCAAGGGGATGACCTCGGTGGTAAGGCAAGGGGAATGACCTCCCATGGGTAAGTCAAGGGGATGATCCATGGGTTGACCTCCATGGTAAGGCAAGGGATGACCTCCCAAGGGATGACCTCATGGTAATGCAAGGGGGATGACCTTAGAGCAAGGGAGACCTCATGGTAAGGCAAGGGATGACCTCCATGGGATACAAGGGATGGAGGCGCTCCATGGGAGCTAAGGGATGACCTCCATGGTAAGGCAATGGGATGACCTCTGTGGTAAGGCAAGGGGATGACTCATGGGCAAGGGGATGACCTCCATGGGTAAGGCAAGGGGGATGACCTCCATGGGTAAGGCAAGGGGATGACCTCCATGGGTAAGGCAAGGGGATGACCTCCATGGGTAAGGCAAGGGATGACCTCCATGGTAAGGCAAGGGGATGACTTGGGCTAGGCAGGGGATACCTCCATGGTAAGCAAGGGATGACCCTCCATGGGTAAGGCAAGGATGACCTCCATGGGTGGGATACCCATGGGTAAGAAGGGGATGATCTCCATGGGGTAGCAAGGGGATGACCTCCATTAGGGTGAATCCATGGGTAAGGCAAGGGATGACCTCATGGTGGTAACAAGGGATGACCTCCATGCGGTAAGCAAGGGATTACCTCTTGGGCAAGGGGATGACCTCCATGGTAAGGCAAAGATGACCCCATGCGGTAAGGAAGGCATGACCTCCATGGGTAAGCAAGGGGATAACCTCTGTGGTAAGGCAAGGCGGGATGACCTCCATGGTAAGGCAAGGGATGACCTCCTGGTAGCCAAAAGGGGATGACCTCATGTGGTAAGGCAAGGGGGATGACCTCTGGTGGGTAAGGCAAGGGGGATGACCCCATGGGTAAGGCAAGGGGATGACCTCCAGGTGAAGACAAGGGGGATGACCTCATGGTGGGTAATGATAAGCAAGGGGAGTGACCATCCTATTAAGGCAAGGGATGACCTCCATGGGTAAGGCCAAGGGGCATGACCTCCATGGGTAAGGCAAGGGGATGACCTCCACGTAAGGCAAGGGGGATTCTCCATGGGTAAGGCAAGGGGAGGACTCCATGGGTAAGGCAAGGGGATGGACCCATGGGTAAGCAAGGGGATGACCCTCCATGGGTAAGCAAGGGGATGACCTCCATGGGTAAGGCAAGGGGATGACCTTCCATGGGTAAGGCAAGGGGGATGACCTCTGGTGGGTAAGGCAAGGGGATGACTTCATGGGTAAAGGAAGGGGATGACCTCCATGGGTAAGGCAAAGGGATGACCTCCATGGGTGGGTAAGGCAAGGGGATGACCTCCATGGTAAGCAAGGGAGACCTCCATGGTAGGCAAGGATGACCTCCAGGGTTAAGCAAGGGGATACCCCATGGAATGCAAGGGGATGACCTCCATGGTTTAAGGCAAGGGAGACCTCTGGTGGGTAAGGCAAGGGGATGCATCTTGTGGGTTAAGCACAGGGCATACCTCAGGTAAGCAAGATGACCTCCAGCGGTAAGGCAAGGGGATGACCTCCATGTAAGCAGATGACCTCCATTTAAGCAAGGGATACCTCCATGGTAAGCAAGGGCAGACCTCTGTGGGAAGGCAAGGATGACCTCTGCGGTAAGCAAGGGATGACTCATGGTAAGCAATAGAAGACCTCTGGTGGTAAAGCAAGGGGATGACCTCCATGTTAAGCAAGGGATGACCTCCATGGCGTAAGTCAAGGGGATGACCTCTGGTGTTAAAGCAAGGGGATACCTCCATGGTAAGCAATGGATACTCTGGTGGGTAAGGCAAGGGGATACCTCTGTGCCGGTAAAGCAAGGGATGACCTCCATGGTAAGCCAAGGATGATCCTCCATTGGTAAGCAAGGGGATGACCTCTGGGGTAAGGCAAGGGATACCTCCAGGTAAGGCAAGGGGATTGACTCTGGTGGTAATGCAAGGATGACCTCCATGGGTAAGGCAAGGGGATACCTCCATGGAACGCAAGGAACTGACCTCTGGGGCTAAGCGCAAGGGGGATACCCTCCATGGGTAAGCAAGGGATGACCTCATGTAAGCAAGGAGGATGACCTCTAGGGTAAGGCAAGGATACCTCCATGCGTAAGGCAAAAGATGACGCCAGGGTAAGCCAAGGGGAATGACCTCTGTGGGTAAGCAAGGGATGACCTCCATGGTAAGGCAAGGGGATGACCTCTTGGTAGGCAGGAGACCTCCAGGAGGCAAACGTGACCTCCATGAACCAAGGATGACCTCTGTGGGGTAACAGGGATACTTCCATGAACGCAAGGGGATGACCTCCCATGCGGAAGGGCAAGGGGACCTCCATGGAAAGGCAAGGGGATACCTCTGGTGGTATTATTGAAAATATTTACGCATCTTCTTCGGCACTTTAAGTGATTCTTTATAATAAAATTTCTTTATCAATTAATTAACAATTTTCAATCAAACAAGTACTATTAATTACTATTCTTTTTAATTAATATCATTTATCACTAGATGGGAGAAAGAGAG